GAAACAATCACCCATTATGAATGAGTGTACAATCTCAGGTAAAAGCTGAGATTGTTGGGATTGTGTTGTTGAGATTGTTTTTTTTTTTTTCAACTTTAACCTTTTATAAATTATATTTTGCATTGAAAAGAAGGGGTACAAGTGATATTTTCATTAAAAAGTGACTCCCTTTTTTACCTATTGAAAACACACAGAAATACCTAACGTTATAATTTACAATACATCAAATTCAACAATACATGTGAATTTAACAATACATGTATTGATCACAATACACCAATTTAACAATCGGAGAAACCAAGCGACCCCTTTGTTTAAATTGTTTATAGCTGGGGATAGTCCGTTTGGATTTTGACTTGGGAAATGGTCGACAGTTTAATCATTGAGTCGATTGGCAAGATATGTTGCCAATAAGTAAGTGATTTTTATGATATCCATATTGACATTCATTAAAAAAAAGGTTAATTGCATGGTTGGTCACTGAGATTACAAAAAACGTTCAAGTTTGGTCAGTCGAAATATTTAAATCCATTGGTGGTACTTCAGTTTACTGAAACCATTCACGTTTGGTCACTCTCCGTCCAACTCCGTTAACTTTGGTTGATGTGGCAGTCAACACTCAAAATTGACTGTTAACTTAGTGACGTGACAATTAAAAAATAATAAATAAAATAAATTTAATCTATTTAATGTTCAACTCATTTTTACCATAAAATAAAAAAATAAAATATTTATTTTTTGGGTGAAACCTGCTTTCATCCCACATTTGGTCGGAGTGGGAGTCTACCACCATTTCCATCCCGAGCTCTACAGGATGGAGGATGTCAAGCTGGCGGCCGCGAAATCTTGATCTCCATGCCGAAATCCCTTAATTCCAACCATGGCCTACTTCGAGTTCCTCCCTGTTCACCGTAACAACAGCAATGGGGTTTCCAATTCCATCTCCATGCCGAAATCCCTCAAAGAGAAGGAGTAGTAGGAGCTCGTCGTCACCACTTACACTGGTACTAAAAAATTCCCAATTTGAGGAAATCAGAATTCTTGAAATTGAGTTATTCTTGCTATGTTTTCGATCTTAATTTTTTTTTGGTCGCGATCGTGGTTGCAGGGTTGTACAGGTACAAAGTGGGGGACGTGCTGCGAGTTGCAGGGTTCAAGAACAAGGCGCCGCAGTTCAACTTCATCTGCAGGAAGAACGTGGTGTTGTGCATCGACATGGACAAGACCGACGAGGTGGAGCTGCAGAGCACGGTGAAGAACGCGGTGGACGCCCATCTGGTGGCGTTCGACGGGAGCGTGGCGGAGTACACGAGCTACGCGGACACGACGACGGGGGTTTCGGGGCACTGTGTGTTGTACCGGGAGCTGAGCTTGAAGGGGACGACAACGGTGTCTTTTTCCTGTTGAGTGCACTCTTTGCAGTGGTACACATCATATATGCCCACTCCCCCGCAGATCACACAAAGACCATGGAACGATCAGTAGTTGCACTCATCGCAAACTCGCACCAACGTGCAAGGGCGCACATAGGAGTCGCAGATCACACATTTGCCATTGCATTTCTCGCAGAGTCGCCCGATGGAGATGCCCGGCTGCTTCTTGCACATGATCAAATCAGGATGATGCTTGGCCATGGCTGCTGCTGCTTTTGCTTTACTACAGGTTTCGTTTTGCTGCAACCATCCATAAACCTATTTGGTAAGCGAACATTGCTTTCACCAACATAGATGAAAGCGACGCATCCCTAATAAATAAATATTATTTTATTTTTATTTATTTATTTTATGGTAAAAATGAGTTGGACATTAAAATAGATTAAATTTATTTTATTTATTATTTTTTAATTGCCACATCACTAAGTTAACGGTCAACTTTGAGAGTTGACTGCCACATCAGCCAAAGTTAACGGAGTTGGACGGAGAGTGACCAAACGTGAACGGTTTCAGTAAACTGAAGTACCATCAATAGATTTAAATATTTTGAGTTACCAAACTTGAACGTTTTTTGTGATCTCAGTGTCCAATCATGCAATTAACCCTTAAAAAATGTAAACTTTGATACTTTCTCGCTAAAAATTTAAAAAATAATAAGAATAATCTTATATATTTTCAAAACAGGTTTTCACTAAAACTCTAAATCAGAACTGCTACATTTATATTAAAAAATAGTAATTACTCCTTAAATCTTCAGGAGACGAATTTATAAATATGTTTTGCATGATCAAAAATTCTAAAATAAGAAAACACTTCCCAAAATCGAACCAAATATAAACTATATTCAATCCGATTGAACAGACCTGTCTGCGATAGGTTTCGTTGCCAACGGGAATGGTAACACTACAAGAAACCATAATCTTTGATCTTGACAAGTTAAAGAGGAGAAAAAAGAAAAGAAATTAGTAGGGGAATGGAATTAGGGAATCGCTGGCTGGAGATGCGACAAGGAAAGGTGGAAGAAAAGACACGATTGTGGCGAGACTTGACTGTGACGTCACGGTGGGAAGCTCCAATTCCAAACTTATCAGTATATTATACAATAAAAATTAAAAAATAATAATAACAATAAAAATCGTGTATTTTGCATTATCCATGAAACCGTATCAGCGGTTTAACCACGAAATATTAGTTTTGAAGGCTAAATCGGTAGGCGGTATTTAACGATCTAACGGTTGAACTACGATTAAACCACGGTTTTACCATAAAATACCCTAACCCTAACTCTCCCGGTACGATCTCCGGTACGGTTTCATGGACCATGGTATTTTGTAATTTGTACAATTGTCCAAATGAACGCCTCTGCTTTCCTTTGGGCCATCCCCCTCCCTCGCCATGGGCCATGGCCCCCTCAGCCCCCTGTGGGCCTTCTTCAGGACAAATTATGATGATCATTATCCTGACAAATTATGACAATTATGTTTCACACAACTGTGTCCCCCTTCTCTCTCGACCACTTCGTCATAAAATCTCACATTGAGCTTCAAGATATTTATTTTGCCTCAATTTCAACTTCTGTTTTTTCTTTTTCTTCCATGAGTGGTTTGTAGGTGAGACATGTTGTATTTGCTTTGAAGAAATTATATGTATTCTATAAGTAAGATCGTAAGAATTAGGTAATGGTATTAGATTTAAAAGAAATTATAGATGGTAATGAATTTAAAAATATTAGAATTTATCTATAGATCGTCCAAGTTCGAGGTGGAAAAAAATATATAAGGTAACCCGACCCACCTGTCTGATTCGGTCCAATCCATCTATATTTTTTCGCGAAAATTAAGGAATTATGTTGGGGGAGGGTTTTCATTTGTGAAACTTGTCTCTCTTGGGTTGGGTGCGGGTTTTGAGTTATGCCACACATATGTATCTGATCCAACCCATGTTACAACTATTTTCTTAAGTGTTCGTCTCCAAAATGTATTCATATTGTATACAGACATATTTGTGAGAAAATCGGGATATTTTTTTTCATATTAGACGTAGTTAATATATGTTAGGGTTCACAATTTTTTTTTTTTACAATTTTAGAAGAATAACATATTATTGATATGTTAGTTTATAATGCACACTATTTTTAACTTATTTTAGTGAATGTTTATGAAAAATACTAGACATATGTTTATGCAAATTACACTTTCTCAAGTTCCAAACAGCTCCTATGAATTTTTATATTTGTCGCTGTGATTTATTTTCTTGAAATTTGAATTACTTATATAATTTTTTCTTTGTGTTGGATTCCGGTCAACTAAATTCAGTCATTAACAAACTGCAGAGTTCTTATTTTTTTAGTTTGATTTAGTATTTTCAAAATCGAAGTGTATAACTCAAACAATCAAAATGAATAAACCCGAACAATCCAACCCATTTACAAGACAAGTTATAATATACTTTAGCCGTACATAGACTCCGAGCCATACCTGAATTTTCATATAAGAATGAAACGAACGCAATATAATGAGGAAAACGAATGTCTATTTTCAAAATCAATAGGCTGCATAACTCAATCACTATCCGCCACATCATCGCCCCTTCACTCTCCTGTAAAGTCTCTAATATCCCCCCCCCCTAATCTTTAACGGACGATTTTTCACTCGTTTTAAGTCAGAATTTAAATTTTTTTGAATACATGATAGTAGGAGTGTCATTTACGACTTCCAACATTGTGTACCACAAGATACCACCCCGTACCAGGGTGGTATTGTATGGTATTTTTTGGTTTTGTATTTTGTTCACCTAGAAATTTGTAGATCCAATAAATCATTGACGAACTCGTTCTTTCTGTGCAAAAAATTTTCAAAAACGACTTAAAAACGAAGAAGATACCACATGGTATGCAATTGGTAACGAGAGGCATGAAATTTTTTCCTCAAAATATTGAACATGGATCTCATTTTGTAGAGCACAACGAACTCGTTCAATATGTGAAAAAAAAATTGAAATTCAAGCTATAACGAAGAAGATATGAGCCGATTATAAAAATAAGAGTAAAAAAAATATCTTTAGCTTTTTGTTTTTAGATATGGATTTTCTGAGTCAACTTAAAAATAAGAGTGTAGATTTAGTTACTGTGTCTTGGGCCGGCGAAAATAAATACTACCAAACAATCCCTGAATTATACAATTTGATAGATTTTTTGACAAACAATTTGATAGATTGATAACTCAATTTTGGGTCCATTTACGGCCTCTTCCACGCAAAAAAGGAACTAGATAAGACTCAAGGGGCCCTGAATATAACACTGAAGAGCTACTGACAAAAAATGTACACTTCTCAACGAGTCTCTTTACACCCACAGGTCACTCGTGGTGTGACAAGAGAAGGCACTCTGGTTCTGGTACAACACTGGAATAAAGCAGCAGCAGCAGCAATGCTACATGTACTCCCCAGAAACAACTACATAAATATCACAGTATGCCTAAACCTAGAGAAGGACAATCAACACCTCAATATATCTGATTCTTCCCAATAATTGAAAGAGAGCCCATAGGAAAGTACTCTTGGACAATTCTACTGCTTGGCCTTCCTGTCGTTTCTAGTTCTCTTCCTCCATTCTCTGCTCTCTGTTGGATACTGCTTCTTAATCAACAAATTGCACATTGCAGTTTTTATAGCTTCAGCAGCGGCTGAGAAAACACTCTGGTCGATTGACAAGCTTCCCTGCAACTTCTCGAGCAGCTTCTGGCTGCCTGGAATTTCTTCATCTCCCAAAACAACAGGCTTGTGTTGATCAGGAGACTCAGGATGGCCTTTTTTCCTGAGACCACTAACAACCTTCAAACGAGCCAGAGACTTGTGGTCAGCATCACGCAGTTTAGAGATGCCTGTTACAAACCACAATAATTCTCCAGCAGAACTACTTCCCATGCTTGTGGGGATGAAATTCTCTTCTGTTATAGAAACCACCTATATGAATAAGAAACATCTAAACGATTATGTTTCCAAGAGATAAAAAATAATACACATCCGAGGGAAAAGTACTCTTCCACCTGAATGCCTATGCAAGTCAATGTTCAAGTTTTTACCACATTTTGGCTAAGAGTTCCCCCCGAATCTCATTAGAAGGTGAAATCAATTGCAGACATGCTTAGTATTGCTAATATGCTTGAATGGAAGTGTTCAGCTCAAGCTCACACCATTGGATTGCATGTGTTGCCGTTATTTACAACAATGCCACAACACTGATTGAACGGCTGAAACACTGAGAAGGGCAACCAAACGGCACAAGCACAACTGAACGGTCCCATTCAGCTTAACAGCAAAAATCTTAGCAAGCATTGCAGTCATTTCACCTTTTAAAGAGATTCGTGAGAACTTTTCGCCAGTGACTTGAACGTTAAATAACATATGCATTCAGGTGCACGATGTTGGTGTAAATGATCAGTCCTTACCTTGGCGACGCTTAATGTTTTAGAAGAGAAGTCACAGCCCAGCAAAATTATTCCTTGCAAGCTAAAATGGTGAACAAATCAACTGTCAGCTGAAGCACTAACTCATGAACTGAAGAAAAGTTCACAAAACATAGAGCAGAAGTTTCTAGTGATTTGATACTTACCCTTGAATGGCTACCGCAACAAGATTACTATCCTGGATTGCACACAAATCCGTGACAGCACAGCAGCTCTCCTCGCTACCATCGGACTCTGAAAGTGCTGCCTTCAGAAAACAATGAGATAAGAATTAAAAAAAGACATCAGGTCAAAAGAAAACCAAAAGATTTGATTTTTCTGGAATATCATTCTCCTACATTTGATATCATTAGGAAGAAAACCACTTAGAGTGGCTAAAATTATGTGTCTTACTGGTGAATCAACCCAAATTCTTCCTAGACCTGATATTACTCAATTGTGCAACTAGATTAAAGCAGATCAAAAAATTTGCATGAGGTTCCACTTCAGAACCATTTATAAGTTAAAAATGCCACAAAGAATACTGGGGAAAACTATTTCAGAGAGAAGGTACCTGTGAGCCTACTTCACAGGTATCAAGTAGTGATCCCGAAGTAATATCCCATAGGCGAACCTGTGGAGTTAGAGCATATAACAAGTCACTCCAAAATTTTAAATGTCACATTTGACCAAAAAAAAGAGAGATTATGAATAGCAAATCTATGTAGCCAGTAGGATGGAAGCTTACCGTGGAATCACCGCTACCGGAAAGAAGAAACCCTTGGGGCAGATCCTTACTGCAAATAAAAGCAAGGCTGGAAACAAACCTGAAATCAAAATAGTAGATGACTGCATCAGCCTCATTTTTAAGTTGTAAATCAGTAAATGGTATATCCAGCAAAAGGAAGTTTTTTCCTAATATTACATTAAATATGATATGCAACCAGAAATTAAATGCTACTGTTGTTCCCCATCAACTAATAAGTCAAAGAAACGCGTAAACCAAACGGGAAGTAAAATATAATAACTCACTCACTGTGTATGACCAAGGCAAAAGCTTTGTATTTCATGAGCCCCTTCCAAAGGCTTCTTCGGAAACACAGAAACCTGCCATGAAGCACAGGACAAGGTGGTGATTTTCAACCTAGGCACCCTTTTCTTTTCAGTGAATAACTAGAAACCCTTTTAGTTTAAACCACACAAGGAAAACAATTACACGGATTTTAAAATCTCGGTCTGCACTAACTATGAAGCATCCATCCGGTGAAAATTCCTGCACATAAAGAAGAGAGTAATGAAGGTTTAGCTCATCAGTTAAATAGTACATCTAAGACACCCAGAATAAAGATTCACTAAAAATAACAAACCAGTCTAGTAATGATGCTGCAATAATGAGCAAGTAAAGGTGCTGCCTTCCTATTGGAGAGAGCTCCATTGACATCAAGATCATGGATATCTACAACCCAGACAACTCCAAATTTGTCAGCAAAGCACACATACAGCCCATCGTTGCTTATGGAAACTGCACTCACTCTCTTCTCGGAGGACCTGTTGCATTAATCAAGTGTTAGAGAACATTTTAAGCCTACATATACTATAGCCAAAATGAGGAAATGGAAATTAGACAACAGCATATACAACAATATATATGAATTTATTTTCAGTGCACACTATTTTGGGGGAATTTATGCACCCACCACAATCGTCAATTTGATCATGCAATTCAAGTCAAAACGATGTCAATTGTCACTTGCTATACGATGGACAAGAAAATGCATTAATTTGCACAAAAAGCATTCAAGATTTATTTTGATTTAAAGGTTTAAGGATTTAGGGTTTAGGATTTCGAATTTAGAATATAGGGTTTATAATTTAGGGCTTAGGGAAATGCATGAACATTTGTGATTCTATGTTATACCATCATATTCGACTAATGCTCTCAATTAATATTCAAAATTCGATGTTTTAAGATTATTTTTAGGATTGGGCGCATAGTATGCACTCATTTTTGTGAGTGCACCATAGAAACCAAGCCACCTATGTGTATTGAAGCAAGGAAACAATGTCAAACTCCAAGTGATCACAATAACATCTGGGGCATAGCATCTCAGTAAGCACCTTTATTTGTTCTGTCTTGAGTACAAACACAATATATTAGCTAGGCTAATATCAAGTTATACAGAAAATTTGAAAGCTCAATAACCCTTGAGATTACTACACTCATATTACACAGACAAATAAATACATAAAAAATTATCACAACAATTGGAACTTGTTAAGAGCCTTAAAACAACTAAGCCAATGAACTTACACGGAACTGATGCAGCGCCAGGTGTCAGTGGACCAAATCTTAACAAGCTTATCATCACCAGCCGACACAAAGAGCTTCCCATTTGCACTGTAGCGAATAGCTCTCACAGAATCCTTATGGAAGGGTTCTACAGAATCATCTACCAGAGAAACCCCACAATCCGTCCTGAACAGAATGCAGACAGGGAGTATGATTACTTCACCAGCTCAATGGCGGAACAAACTTCTTTAATATCACAAAGAAGGAACATACACTATACATTCTCATCCGTTCCAGGAAATTACTTAGCACAGAAGACAGCCCAGTTTGATTGAACAAAGACTTCACCTTGATATTCAAGGTGAAGTAATTTGTAAACATAAGCTATGAGAGTTCCCACCACCAGGTGTGCTTGCAGTGATTAAGAAACATCGTACACGGATTCACCCCACTCCTAGATGGGTTTCTCACAAATTGCAGGTTAAACAAATCCACATAGCCTTAGACCACAAGCTAAACGCTCGTTAAAATTGCCAAAAGCTAATTCGTGCCTATGTTTCATTAAGTAGTGTGGTTTACTGAGTTAGAGCGAGGAAAGCAACACAGGTATTAGAGACCAAATTCTTACCTGAGGTCGAACACGCGGAGGTCAGAACCGACGGCGACGGCAACCGAATCCTGGGTAGGGTGGACAGCTATTATGGCAGGCGCAATTTCTATCTCTCGGTTATTTTCTCCGCCTTCCAAGTGAGAGTCTTCCTCCATTTTTGGGCTCTCGTAGACAGTTGCCAGCAATCGGTAACAGTTGGTTTTTTCAATTTCTAGGGTTTTAAGGTTGCCGGCTGCCCCTCGTTCGTCGATGGAGGTTTTCGTCCCGGGAAAGGGTTTAAAGAAAGAGCATGCTTAGAAGTTTGAATTTGAGTTCTCTGGCCCATAAGATAGACATTGGCCGGAAACATCTCCAATGGCGAAGCTGGGCCTAAATGCGCGTAGCCCACTAGAGTTACGAGTCTATATTGCCAATTGTTAAAGTAACACCCTAGTCTCACAAGACTCTAATTTTACCAAAATATCCTTGTTAAATCTACGCAATCCTCCATTAATATATAGTAGAGTTTTGTAAACTTTTTTCCATTTCAAATTTTCTGCAATGAGAGTAAAAGTAGGAAGGACAATTTTGTCTTTACAATTAATTATTTATTTCATAAAAATATCAATATCAAGACTCAAACCCGGGTCTCTTCAGACAAAGATATCAATCATAACCAATTATACTAAATGTATTTGTTGTTCCTTTTTTAATACAAAACATACATGTATTTAAACTGTGAAAAGCAGAGAACTTTTCCATCATGATTAACAAGTGCACTAAGTCTACTATATGTATTTTCATGGTGCTTAATACTTCAATTTTCATAGTACAGTTTCATTTAATTTTATCAATTTTAGAATTCATGCTCTCTCTTTTATTTTCGCTAAAGGTAAATTGGTAATTGGCTAACATGGAAGAAACTATTTCCTTTACTATGTGTTGTGTCCTTGCATTTTTCAATATAATTTAAATTTTGTGCCTTTTTTATCTTTGTTCTTATCTCTTTCTAATTTTCTCCGAAATTCCCTCCATCGTGCAATAGTTTGCGTGCTTTCACTTCCCAGTATAAGGAGCATTTGAAAATCAACATCCCTGTATCTTTTGGCACTGCAGTTTTATTCTTGGGGATTTAAGCTGGGCAAGTAGAAGATTTCAACTCTCATATCAATCCATGGCCAATAGAATGGAGTTCAATCAAGTAGTTATGGCATGGCCTTGATTATCTCGCTCGATTCCTCTGCACTGGCATCACCCAATGGTTCTGTCTCTCCCCGATGTACTATCAGAAGAACTATTTTGCTGCTTCTATTGCTGAAGGCAATGTTTGATCAGTTATACCTTTCGCCTTTACTCCTCTTCCTATACCAGGCATTGACCTTTAATAGGTTTTCGATTTCCGATCAAGGTTAATCGCTTTACACATGTAAGTTATTCGTTTCTTCTCTATGTCTCATGGTTTTATCTTTCTGATTAATAACAAAGCGACTTTTATTTTCACGTTGTCTCATGAGCACAACATGCATAATATCTATTTATTTTGATCTTATTGCCTGAAACGATGTTTAAAGCTCTGGGGATCTCCTGCGTGATTTCTCCTCTTTCTGTTATTAGGTTACAACTTCAATGTGTTTCTATCTTCATATTAGGTTCATCGAATTGAACTGGCAGGCTATTATTTCCTTCCCGATTTATCTAAGTTTTTTGTTTATGAATGATTTATTAAATATAGAAAATGAATTTGAACGATGGTTTGGGTACTATATTTGTTTGTAAGCAAAAGAGATGTTTGTGTAGAACATGGCAGTTGTACTTTGCTAGAGCCCTGTCCACTTTGTTGTGTGTTTCCTGTACTTTATTTTTGTTCTTTGCTTAGCTATTGAAATAATAAAATAAGATCAAATTGAGAAAAAAAGGTTTCTTTTCAATTACAATATTTCCGCTCATATTTGATTTTGTGATAACTAATGTTCTCCGCAACCATAATTTTCCTCATTAATTTTTATTCTTATCTCACTAATCAAATTTTGATATTGTTTTAGAATTAGTTAGAAATTGAGATTTCATGCAACACTCTAGGAGTTTGAGGTGTTGAACTTGGAGTAGAAGAGTTAGGATTGAGTTTGAAAATGAGAGTGGGGGGGGGGGGGGGGGGGGGGGGGGGGGAAGAAAAATTCAACTGTAGCATGTTAAGGCATAGAAGAGGGAGTTACCGAGGGTAGTGATCGAATTGAGGAGGGTGTTGAAAGACGCGGAAGCAAAACTGGAGCAGTTAAAGAGAGAGAAGTGAGAGATGATGAGGATATTAATAAAAATGGAGAGGGTATTGAAGGACATGGAAGTGTACTGAAGCATGTGAAGACATACAAGGGGGGGGGGGGGGGAATGAGCTTATTGATGGAATTGGAGATGAGTTTTGGTTTTAGCGAACTTATTACAACTGGCCTTGAGGAAGATGAGTTGGCAAAACACAGGAAGAGGATTGAGGAGTTGAAGAGCGAGTTGACAAAAACCCTAATTGGAAGAGAAATTGAGGGTCGCAGAGAGAAGGTCCATCAAAGTAGCAGAAATGGAGTTGCAGAAGGAGGGTTAGAAAGTGAATGTTTGGTTGAAACATATGCTTCTTGAGATTGAAGATAGAGTAGATAAAAATTTGGTCGTTCAATGGAGAGTGGTCGCTATTGGATCATTAGGTTTATAGTTTTTGCAGCTACCACAACCTATTTCTATCTTAAAACGAGTAATCATTGATTGATTTAATGAAGTAGGTTGATTCTTTATTCAACCTACTGGAACTGATAGATAAGGACTGTCTAATTTCGCGTCATATTACTTTGATCGAGTCTATTAGTATATTGGAGGTAACCCAATTTACTTTGATCGTTTGCTCTCAAGTTTTGATGGTCCACTCTTAGCCGAGTTGTTAGTATATAGTTGACTTGAACCTACAACTATCCATTTCTTTTTTATTAGTGGCATATTGCCCCCAAAATGAGAGCATTGAACCATTTACGTAGGATTGTGAGGTTTTAGATTCAGTTTCAAACTATCTATGGGTCGTGTGGGAATTCCAGTGAGCTTTTATACTCTATCTTTCTTAACAATCAACTAGCCAATGACATATTAACTGGGCTTAATTATCATTATGAAAATGAGATCAATCATACATTTTTATGTTTTATTTTCTCAAATGATGATGATATTTCTCTGAATGTTCGACCTATATATTCTTTCTTTATGTATCATCTCGATCAAAAGATTGCCAATCAAATTAAACAGGTTGATAGACTTTAACGTAACATAAAAAGTATAAAAAATAAAATATAAACATTCCGGCCAACAGGCCGGATTATAAGCTAGTAAATAAAAAGCAAATGAGAAAACTTGATGAAGCCCCATTTCAAATTTCCTGCATCCAGAATGAAAGTAGGAAGGACATTTTGGTCATCACAATTACTTTTTTTTTATTCATTAAAAAGACACCTACTAGGATTCGATCCATGACCACTTTAAAGAAAAGCAAAAATCATAACCAATCAGACTAAATACATTTGTTGTATCTTTTTAAATTAAAAACATATAATCGCAGAGAGGAAAAAATCCTTCCCGCATTTCAAATTCTCTGCTCCAGGAGCGTCTGTAGGAAGGATAGAATAGGGAGTGTCAATTTTTTTCTTTTTCCTTTATGGAACTTGCCAACTTACCGTACACATGCGGATTTAAACAGGTCCAGGAGTGTCAATTTTTTTCTTTAAGTCCTTTTATTTCTCCGTGGTGGTAAAATATATATGGAAAGGCAAAAACAATACTCCTTTTTATTGCTAAAAAGAAAAAAATTAACAATAAACTAATGCATGGATTCTAATGGGCTAACCGCTAATCATAAAATAAAAGAGTTGAATGGGCCTGACCTACACGGGAGTTTCTCATTAACTAAAACAAATGAACATAATGGGTTTGTCATTCTAAAACAAGCTATTTTCTCTAGCATAATATGTATTATGTTATTATTTTATATCTTAGTGGCTAAAATATAATGTATTTTAAAGTTATTCAATGGTTCAACCTCGACCAAACCAATTAGTCAAATTTTTATCATTTCAAATATATATTATGTAATTATTTGATATCATAATGATTAAATTATAGTGTATATTATAGGGAATTGTTTGATATTTGTTAGTAAAAAACTAAACAGGAAGATCTATTTGGTTAATTTTGACATTAAAAAAAATTCTAAACATTTTCACTTTCCTTTCGAAATTCTATAGTTTTATTCCCGAATAAGTGATGTGCAAATGGAGAATTGCAGTCATCTCTTTTCTTTCATTATTTTTTATTTTCAAATAGAAAGTTTAAAAGTAAAGAATAATTAGAGTCAGACATGGGTCGGTCAAACAGGCGGAATTTCAAGTTTTGGCCCGTTTTGATCAAGTCTAATTTATAATCACATGGTTCCCTGATACCCGATAAAAATCTCAATCCAAAACAGTTTGGCAGGTGAGTCCGTGTTTACCACCATTTTCTAGGGATACAGGAACGCTGGTTCCTAACCCAAATCGTGTTGTTCATTCTTGATTTCTTTAGATTTTATCATGACTTGGCAAAAAACCAGAAAGCACAATGATGACAAGATGAAAGTTTTATAAAGCAAATTAATAGGCCAACAGGCCGAGTAAAAGCTAACAACGATTGTGAGATGCTCATTTCCCGAAAGCCGGCGGGATAGGCGATTTTTTATTCGATTTTTTGGAATTCGGTTTCTATAAAACTTACTCCACTTCATCATATTACCATAAACAATATTGTTTCACAAGGTAACAGGTACTTGATTTTGGTTCATAAGGCTGATTTTTTATTCGTTGCAACATTCATGTCTCTTTCCTAATAAAATTCACTATTTTTATCACGTGTGTCCCCAAAAAAACTATACAACAATAAGCTATACATCCCATTACATTATCAAATTTCATACATCACCTTCCTCCGCCCAAATGGTCGGGGCCCACGCTAGTTGTTAATTACAATGAGAACTAAAGAGATTGGAAAAATTAGCCAGAAATTTTCCAATTGGTATACTTTTTTTATGAATCGATATACTTTCATTTCATCAAAAAGTGTTGCTGGCAACACCCTTGCCAGTTAGGGGGAATGAAACCTGAAGAAATGACCCAAC